TATATATATATATATATATATATATATATATATATATATATAAACTGTCTAATAACTAATTTCTAATCAAGTTCAACAATTTCGACGATTGCAACAATAATCTGTGTGCTATATTCTGCATGTTATACCCTGGAGGAAGAGATGGAGTTCCCGGCTAGAACGTAAGGTCCGGCACCGACCTACACGCCGGCTAGCAGTGTTTCTCCTTCAGGTATCTCCCTCCAGCGGGGCACCGCCTCAGGCGGGCAACGCCCTAAGCTCCAGACTGGACTGCCAACACATGTGGTAGTGTAGGGCATGTGTGTGTGTATAAGGGAAGATGTGGGTCGAGGATGAGGCAGGAAAGATCGCGGGCGATACGTGGTCCGTTTGTTAGGGAAATGCTACGGCATGCGAAAAACTACCGATCGGAGAAGGTGGTTGCTGAAATTCTCCTCTAGACAGCGGACGAATTCGTCCTAGGTATTTTAGCTAGAGGTGAAAATTCCTCCCCCACGGAATCCGAGCCCTAGGACCTGCAGAGTGGTGAAAGTTGCCGAAGTGGCTGAAAGTAATTTTGAATTTACTCCGTACAAAAATTGTGTAAACAAGTTATGATTTTTGCATGTTCAAAGTTAAGATTAACACAGTAACATCGGCTGACTGAATTCAGATCTATAGCACTGTATTAATTCGTAACAGATTGTTGCTGGCTTACCCAGTTTCGCGATGGTTTCTCGCTTTGTGGCAGGGTCGTACTTGCGAACCTCCTTGGCTATGATATCCACATAATAAAGAACATTTTCAGTGCTATCCCAATGCGGCCCTTCTCCTAGGATCGTGCTGCTGGTCACAGTTTCCACCGAAATTTGGCTCATAGTTCTAAAACAACACGTAATTTTTATTAATATATGTATGTGCAGGTAATTTCTCACAAGGTTAGTAATAAATCGTTTGCAAGTTAATACATTTGCAAGTGGATTTAACACTAATTTCAAAACTCCTCATGATGATATTAGAAAATGAGAAATTTGTTGAGTCATTGTTTTAGATTGCTTGTGCTAAAAGAATGATTACTAGATCCAGAGATAATTAGCTAACAGCTGCATGAATATAATGAGTATTATTTAAAGCACCTTCACAGAGACACCTTGCATACGTACCTTCCGATCCTCTGGGCAGCGAGTGTTATGATACGTAACGTCGGGGCGATGTTTTTATGACAAGGCCTACGCCCGATAAAGTCCAAGGACGTCTAGAAACAGTAAGCATGTGCGACAAGGGTATGCAACAAAACAAATGACCATTTACGAATATGGCGAAAGAACGAAAGAATATCAGAAAGCAATTATATTTTTCACGTAATATGTTTACTGCAACAATGTGAGTTAGAGAAACAAGAAAAGTGAAGAAAGGCAAACTTGCTAAACGAGTTTAACGAGAACATTTAACGAAAAAACACACACTTGATTTCATATGACATAAGTCTTTAGAAATGGAAAAAAGGGAATTTTAAAATTTTAATCTGAAGACGGTATTTTTCTTTTCTTTATTGTTTCCTACTTATAATCCAAAACATTCGAAGAGGAAAAAACTAAAAATAGATAACAAAAAAATTAAGCACAGTGATATGTAGACATATTTAGGGTCTGATAAAGTTCTGAATACTAATCCGACAGATATTTTATCCGTCAGATAAAAGTGCCTGATATTAATTTTGCGTTTCACTTGACGCAGTGGATTGTTCACCTCAGTGAAGACTCAAATTACGACAAAAAATTATCCCGTTGCAAAATAATGCAGTGAGAAGTCGGTTCATTGTCGATACCTCAGAATAGCTAACAAAACACAAAGTATACATTTTATTATTTTGACATAAAATGAATTTAACAGTACCATTACTTTACCAGAATATTACATAAATATAAGTCGGTATTCACAAATCTTTTATTTTCTGTTTAATCAAAGACATATTTTTGCTAACCGTAGGCTTCCTTAACTTCAAACGGGATTTGCAATCTTATTCGTCAAGGATTTCAAAATATTCTGGCCGACATGTCGTCTGGGCGGACGGTCTAAACCATCAAAGAATTCGTCGTCTGTTATCTCTATTACGTTGTCTATCACGAAAAAAAACACAGACATTCCTTGAAAAGCACAGCAAGTTTACACACAGATTCTGTTATTTTGGAGTTACCTACCAGATAAACATTTAACAGCCTCTCGAATCTCCAGATTATTTACCGGAGACTTTAACCACTGGATAGATTTACCAGGCACTCAAATTACTAATACTCAACTTTTCAACACATCAGTAAGATAACGTCTGGATAGATTATCAGATACTTTATCAGGCACCGATGAAACAGGACCTCAATCTTCAAAATCTATAAATTGCAGTTTCTTGCGATATTTATGACTCGTATCAAAACAATACACCCATTCAAACAGCCTTTATTCAAACTGTTTTAAATGATTAGGAATTAAGCAAAATTAACATCAAGTTTCCAATGTAAATTGAATTGGTTTGTATCCAGTATATGCAATACTTACGATGAACCGATTTTATTCCCCAATTATACAGGATCACAAAATAAACGAAAAGAGAGATCGAAAGAAGCGAGATGAAAAACGGTATTTCATTAAAGGACATTTATTCAAATTTTCAGTGAAATTTTGCTTTCAAGCTACTCAAATTAATGAAAACAAATCGGCGTCCTAAATGAGCAAAATTCCAAAATAGTATCATCGTAATATTTCTCATAGCGGAGCAAGCCTTTCTCGAAAAGCAGAGGGCACCTCAACATTCGCTGAGAAACTGCCAGAAAATCACGATCGATGCGAGTTATATCGATCGTCAAGATATATTGTCGATTTTGAATCGCTGTATTTTCGTAATGGATCTGTGTTGTGTCTTGTGTTGAATGTTCTTCGTTGAATATGTTTAACAGAATGTCTTAGAATACACCAACCCGCCATTCGAAGTATTGTATTTTTTGGACTTAAGGACGATGACGCTGACATAATCTTTGAATGTTGAATAGTCATCACTCGCTTTCACATCGTTTCAGGAACATTTATACTGTCAGCGTGCATCTGCAATTGCTTGAGTAAATTCACACAGTCATCACTAACAGACACATTACAAGTTTCTCAAGTCATCACAATCACATCACTTGTGTAAATTGGGTCTGATAAGATTAGATAATAATACAATCAGTTTCGGTTAATTCGACCTGATATCGTTCCAGTAATTGTATAATCCCAAGTGTTTCCCCTTCCACTATTCTTTTAATTCACTGCTGTGTCTAAAATGTTATCTCAAATAAAATCATATGTGATGTGTTGTCACTAGAGTAATTAAATAGAAATAATAAATTTATGTAATTTTAAATGTGGACGACAGCAACAATGGGGAAAGCAAAGAACCCGAGGTGCGCTTTATTTTGGGAACAATACAAGAGAAGGACAGAATTGATAGTCGGGAAAATACATAATATGTTAACAAATAATGCAGTAAAAGGACACGTGAGCCAATTCCGTGGGGCAGAAAATAAATTAAGAAGTTATTATGAGCAGGAAACCAAAGAATAAACTGATATGTTGAAATGTGTGTGACCAGACAGGAGTTAGATGTGAGAAGAATCGGCACGTGAGAAACGAAGACACGTGTTTGAGACAGATGAAGGGCGCGCGAGATGGAAAAAAGGAGCAGACGATGTTTTGACACGATGGTTGCGGGAAAAATTAGACTGAATTGTTAGTTTGTAAAGGCGATGTTTAAGGTAGTAAATGTACAATTAGAAAGAATAATTGTGTGTGTGTGTGTGGTGTGTGTGTTGTGTGTGTGTGGTGTGTGTGTGTGGTGTGTGTGTGTGGTGTAGTGTGTGTGGGTGTGTGTGGTGTGGTGTGTGTGGGTGTGTGTGGTGTGGTGTGTGCGGTGTGTGGTGTGCGTAGTGTGGTGGTGCGTGTGTGGTGTGCGTGTGTGGTGTGCGTATGTGGTTGTGGCGTGTGTGGTGTGCGGTGTGTGGTGTTGCGTGTGGTGGTGGTGCCGGTGTGTGGTGGTGCGTGTGTGGTGGTGCGTTGGTGGGTGTGCGTGTGTGGTGTTGCGTTGTGTGGTGTGCGTGTGTGGTGTGCGTGTAGTGGTGTGCCGATGGGGTGTGCGTGTGTGGGTTGGTGCGTGTGTGGTGTGCGTGTGTGGTGTGCGTGTGTGGTGTGCGTGTGTGTGTGCGTGTGTGGTGTGCGCGTGTGTTGTGCGTGTGGTGGTGTGCGTGTGTGGTGCGCGCGTGTGGTGTGTGCGCGCGTCGTGGTGTGCGCGCGTGTGGTGTGCGCGTGTGTGGTGTGCCGCGTGTGTGGTGTGCGCGTGTGGTGTGCGCGTGTGGTGTGGCGCGTGTGGTGTGCGCGGTGGTGTGCGCGGGTGGTGGTGTGCGTGTGGCTGGCGCGTGTGCGCGTCGTGCGCGTGGTGGCGCGTGGTGCGCGTGGTGTTGCGTGTTGTGTGTGTGTAGAACGCGAATACTCAGGGAGTGGCCCGAATTCTTTTTGGAAATGGACGACGTTCAGGATTACTTGGAGTACGCAAGGAAAGTGCCAACCGGGAACATTTATTTTTTACTTGTTTGGTGCCATTGAGCGAAGGCCAAGTGTAAAATAAATGTCTAATTAATAAGTTATGAAAAGAAAAGGAAACAACTACTATACGTAAATATTTCGCTACCGAGTAATGTGTATAAGAACCGGCTAATTCATATATATATAATGATATATATATATATATATATATATATATATATATATACACACATCATGACAGGGCGATTTTGGGATATCTTCGGGTAACTGTCGAGTGAAATGGTGGATTTTGAAATTCAAGAGAATAATCAAGCAAATAGGGACCAAGAATGGCCCCCAGTCACACATACGATGCAAACAATTTGAAAAGTTCAATGTTTTTCAAACAATCAATTATTATTTTATGTTTTAGTCTTCCATCCCACAACTTGTTCCTTATTCCAACTCCAATGCCCTCGCACAGGGGCGGACCCAGGGGGGGGCATGCCCCCTCCCCTCCAAAAGTATGGTCTAGAGTTTTCGTTTGTTACCTTCTTTTATTTGGACAAACTGATTTAAATATGTTTTGTGACGAACCAACCCAAATAGGGTGTTTTCACGAGGCAGCATGTGCCCTCAGAAAACCACCAACAAAGGTGAAATACCGGAAGAGACTTCTCCTAATACGACTGTGACAAAGAACTTTAGGATTCCACTCCGCTGTCAAGACAAAGGGGAAGGGGAACCACGTAGACTCAAGCAATACTCGGGGACGTCAAAGAACAGAAATCCGGGATTCACCTTGCACGTGACCGAACGGACGAATTACGAAGGCTTTACTAGATACAGACCCAACCAGACTGACTAGCCTGAACACGTGACGAGGAGGGAGACGAGTGTAGGCGAAGCATAGAGAGACGGACAGACTGAAGAATACGGGGAGCGAGAGGAGGCGGACGCGTTCCTGACTGATGCGTATGAGGAACGGGCGCAGTCAGAGGTGCCCGTCAGATGTCTGATGATGAGGATGTGTGGGTAGAAGAAGCATACGGGGAGTGTGATTAAAAAACTGACGCATGAGATGAGAGACGTATGAAGTGTGAGCAGAGGCAGACATGTGTGACGGACAAAAACAGAGACGTACGTGAGATATCGGACGTGTCCCACTCCAAATTGAACGGAAGCCGCGGAACCGAACCCGTTAATTCCGGTAGTTCGTGGCGGCATGTTACTACGCACGAACGAACGAACGAACGAACGACGCGTACCTCCGGGAAACGGCGACAACGGCGAGGTGAGATGTTGGGTGCGGCGCGGGGCCCTCCAACGGCCTGCCTTCGACCGGCTACGTCCCAAAGGGCAGCTCCAGCCGAGAAGGGCGTCGACCTCTTGCGGCGCCTTCCGATCGACGCGTAACTTGGCAACGATCAACTCAACCACGCGTGTAACTTTGTGGCGTCCGCGCGCCTAGCGGACTTCATTCATTTGCCAATAAATGCGCTCGTACTACATTACATGAAGTCGTTTCAAAACCAGGTACACCCTTTGCATTTCCCTAGCCAAGCAATCCTGTAAATAAACGCGCCCCGATTTGAGCTCGTCTCAAATCTGCCCGCTGGTGAAGTTGCGTCCGCTGGTGGAACCAAATGGGCAAATTGCAGTCGTGGCAATGACACCAAGGGAGTCGCGCACAGGTAGGCCGTCCAAAGAGCCGGTCAACTGGCCAGCGGTTCCTGTGACCTCTGACGGGAGTCGGCGGCCACAATTGGCCCCGAACCGGGTCACGAATATTAATTACGTTAAATTTAGGTTATTGTTTAAAATATGGTATTGTAGCCTATGGAATCATGCATACCATACAAAAATAATATACAATACAATAAACGTTTATTATTTAATAAAAATCTACGATGGACCCCTCCAAAATGATTGGCTGGATCCGCCCCGGCCCTCGCAACTCATTAATTTTGCGTTCATCGCTGATAATCTTACTTTCTCAGGAGTTTGAGCACGGATGTGGACCTCCTTCAGCCATTACGTTACATTGTTTTCTAAAAGAAAAACATGAACAGGAGTTTTCTTCTTTAACAGCAAAGTAGTTCTATTTCGTGCCAATGAAGATGTGCTTAAAATGTTGACATCAGTGCACGATGCGAGCTTGAAACCTTCAACTGTATGTTGAACAAGAGAGGGGGAAGATAAACATCAGTCAACATTAGTTGTGCAAGTAATAGTCTTCTAGCAGTCTTGTGTGAACACTGAGATTATGCAGAGTCGGCTCGTTCAGAAGTAGAGGAAGAAAGAGGACATGCCAATACTATTACATTCAAAGAAACTTACAAATTCGATTACATGCAGAGGTAAACGAAAATCGTTAATTTTGCGATGTCGTTACTGGGTGAACTCTGCTGGAAGCTCCCTTAACGCTAGATCAATGCGATATTAGATTTTACCAAAATGTGTTAACTTTAACGAACAATCAAGGTGTCCCTGTAATTTTTGTTCCTCTGAATACCACGACCTCAATTTTTAATATCACTGTTAAAAAGCTAACAACTCTAGGAAAGAAGCTCAGAACAACACAGCTGACTTATCATTATCACACGAATCATGTGAAGGGAGCGAAAAAAGAATGCGTTATTGAATTGTCTGTTGCCTTGGGACTGGAAAAGGAAGAGAGTCGAATCGAGAGTCGATTTGCCTAAAATACCTCTGGCGTCTGATGGCCGGCAAAAAGGGCCACTGCAAAGTCTGAGTTAGCTCTTAATTTGTTCCTCTTGGTTCTTGACGGCCAATGGTACTGCACCACTTAATAGTCCAGTGTTTTTCTCAGCCACTCCCATAGGGTGTGGTAATACATCACCCCAACTTGTTAACTCCCCTACCTGAGAAAAGTTTAGGAAACATGCCCCATGAAGTTTATTTATTTATTCACATCAAAAACAGTTAAAAACCGTGTGTGATGTGCTATGGGGAGAAGTTAATTTGAAGTTACATTTATGTTCAGAAGCAAAACAAGGGTCCAATTCCGCATTTGCTCGAGGATCAGGGAAACTGGACAAAAGCCTACCATACTTCTTGGAGTGAAGTGAAAAAATGCACACATCAACGAAAGTGAAAGCAAAGAAGTAATGAAAACATATTTATTCAGTCTTTCTTATGCAAGACAATACACAGTATTGCTTTGTTTACATTTGAAAAATAGTACTAATAGAGAAGACTTTTCCAAACCTTGAAACACTGACAAGAGGCGTCAATGTATGTGCTGTGACATGAATAATAGCCATAGTTCATTTATTAGTAAAAAAATGAACACCTTTTTTTAAAATTGAAATTTAAAATGTGTACTCATTCATTATCAGTATATTATCTTGGAATGTAATGCAGTCAATGTGTGATAATTGTTTTGAAATGATCGAGTAAAATTACAAAAATGTTGACATGGTCCACTTAGTTCCTCTCTGGATTTACCACTATTTCTGACAACTCATTCAACTAAAGGCATGATAAGTACTCACTGATCCTTCACAACCTCCCAAAACTGAATTTACAATAGAAGTACATTAAAATGTAAGTAGTACAAATTCATCAAATATTCATATACAACATAAGGATGATTCAATACAAATGTATAGAAAAGTAATAATCTCACTTGAATTATCACATTACATTTTAACACGATTCATTGGAAGACCCTTGGCGTTTATCCCTTTAATGTGGTAGGTACATCCTGCTGTAGGGTATTTTGCTAATTCTTCAGGAGACAAATCTATGGAAGCAGATGTTACATATAATTCATCCAAATTGGGACCTCCAAACACTACAGATGTAATTTTTGGAGATGGAAGAGGAAATCTCTGAAGCAACTTCCCATTTTCAGGATCAACTTGTATCACCTAAAAAAAAAAAAAAAAAAAGAAAACTGTTAAGAACAATTAAATAATTTTAATATAATATTCCCAATAAAGTTACCATTTAGAAAAAGATTGGTAACATATTTATTATGCTACCCCTTACCTGATGTCCATCAAAACAAGCAACCCAAAGCTTTCCATTGGAATCAATTGTCATGCCATCTGGTAAACCTTCAATGCTATTTGCTTTGAAGTCAAACGCTGTTCGTCTGTTGGCTGAAAAAGCAAATTGTTCACAATTTTTTGGCGATTCCACTTTATATAAATCAATTACAAAACTTAATGGTGTAATTGTATACAAAATCTTCTACAACATAATGTATTTAATTGTGCAACTATTTTACTTACTTGGTATTCCTTTCTCAATATCAAAATCATAAGCCTCAACCTTGTATGTAAGAGAATCTATGTAATACATTATTTTATTATCTTGTGTCCATGCCAGGCCATTGCTGCATGTGATACCAGAAATGTGCTTAGATATTGTTCTGCTTTTTGTTAAACTGAAAAGGGCACCATTTTTTTGAGTAAACATATTAGGCCCCGACTCATAGCCCATAGTGCCTGAAAAATTTACAAAATAATAAAACAGTGCCAATAATTTGAACATTTAAATATAAAATTTAAATTAATGCTAAATTGAAAATTCATCAGATATTTCAAATAAAAATAAGAAGTATCGACATACAGTTCCTTTTCCCCACCAATGAAGATAATTTCCTTCAAAAGGAATTAAAGTATATTAAATTACATGTGTATTAGTTTTTATGACAGAACAATATTAAACTAGAAACTTTCAGTTCAGTTCTCAATATGCTCATTAATTCATTCATTAAAATAATGTATTTCAGAGGGGGAGGGGCAATTTATTTATCATCAAAAACAGTAAAAAGAACTGTATACTGAAGTGTGAAAGTTAGTAGACTAAAGAGCATTTGTCATAAAAAAAAGTATATCTTTGTGTGCCCTACTTCAAATTAATATTTCAGTGCATGGTCTTAATGTATTAACTTTTCTAAACAGTTGTCATGCTTTCTATGAAAACTGGACATTTTAAAAATGGGCTTCATTGTTTGCCGTTCTTGAGAGAGTTGCTCAACTAGTTATTCCCCCCATTGTAATTTTGAATAGTTTCAGTTTTTGCTCGACAACTGACCACTTATTTTCTACAGAGTTAATACCCTGCTACTCTTCAGCATTGGCAATGTGTTCATATTTAGATAATTTTTACTGACTTTTGGTTAATATGACCCTGTGTTCCACTGTACATAAATACAAAATCTTAAGTACTCTTTTGTATTAGGGCAAACTCACAATATATAAAATAAACAAATAAATGTCTTTATTGATGGCAAGGCTCGGGCCATTAGCCTGCTCTTCCCCTGACAATATAAACAGCAGTGCGCTGAAACGACATGACGTTCCATCCCTCTTGGGCTGCACATCAAATGAAACTTAATATACAACAAATATCCGCTTCATTACTAACAATTTGTACACCTCTGTACATGCCTAAATTAAAAATTTGTAATTAAAATTCTGTTTGGGTTAGAATCAGATTTGTAAAGATAAAGAATTGGAGTTGGAACTCAATGCGTCATTATGCAGATCTTTTTGCTCTATTCTTACTGCTTATGTCTTACAAACCAATTGATGATTTTAATATAATATTCAATCACAATTCATGCTGAAATGTATCAAGAAAGAACTAATAATATTGTTTTTTAAACTAGGCCCAGGAAATCAAAATACCAGAACTACGAGTTATTTTCATAAATGTCTCACCTGCCCAGAGACGACCAGAAGGATCAGCTTTTCCATCATTCAGTCTATTTTCTCTCTTCCCTTCTTCATCATCAACTTCTGCAATGGTCTCCAAATTACTAGGCTTCTCACTCTTCCCATCCCAGGTCAAAATACTAATATTACGACCAACACTAATTATGAATTTGTCTTTCTGACCATCAACTGGTACAACTAAGGAAATGGTGCCCTCATCTGGAAAGTATACATAAATATAAGGTTGATACACAGGGTTTAAAATATAAATTTAAATTAATTTTTTGCTTAAAATATAATTTAAAGCAAAAAATAATACACTATTAAAAAATATTAATGTTGCCAATTTTTTTAAAACCAATTATTTTTTTAAATGAAAAGGACTTACTAATAGTGCTAATCAAGTGAATGTAACACAGCCAGTACGATATAATTTAAAAAATAATAAAGAAATCTCAGAAAGAAAAGTTAATTTTGGTATCTTTGCCATAAAGATTTGGATAGGGAGTCATACACGAAATAAACAGGTGTGAGAAAAGAGTAACAGAACGGTAATATCCGTGCACATACTTCATCTTATAGAAAAAATTATAACTATTAAATGTAATAGTGTGGGCGACAGGATGGGGTGAGGAAGAGTTGCAGGGCCGAGCCAAAAAGTAACAAAGTCGTGTGGCATGGACTGAACACGTCGTTGGAAGTCCCCTGCAGAAATATTGAGCCATGCTGCCTTTATAACCGTCCATAATTGCGAAAGTGTTACCGGTGCAGGACTTTCGCAACGAACGGATATCTCGATTATGACTTGTAAATGGTCGATGGGAGTCACGTCGGATGATCTGGGTGGCCAAATCATTCGCTCGAATTGTCCAGAAGGTTCTGCAAACCAATCGCGAACAATTGTAGCCCGGTGTCATGGCGCATTGTCAGCCATAAAAATTCCATCGCTGTATGGGAACATGAAGTCCACGAATGGCCATAACCATTTCCAGCGACTGATCGGTTCAGTTGGACCAGAGGATCCAGTCCATTCCATTAAAAAATTGCCCACGCCATTATGGAGCCGCCATTGCTCGGTGCCTATTGGCAAGTAAGGTCCATGGCTTCACGGGGACTGTTCCCCCACTCGAACCCTCCCATCTCATTCCAAGTGAAATCGCTACCCATCAAGCCACGGTTTTCCAGCTCTCTAGGGTCCAACAGACAAGACCACGAGCCCCAAGAGACATAGCGCATTCAAGCCAAATATTGTCGCACTATCCTAACGGATACGTTCGTCGTACTTCTCACATTAATTTTTGCTATTTCTCACAGAGTTGCTCGTCTGTTAGCACTGACAACTCTACGCAAACGTCGCAGCGTTGTCCATGGTGAGAGATTATACCTGAAATTGGGTATTCTCGGTACTTTTGACACTGTGAAACTCAGAATATTAAATTCCCCAAAGATGACCGAAATGGAATGACCCATGCGTCAAGTTCTAACTACCATTCCGCATTCGAAGTGTGCGGTCATAATCACGTCAGAAACCTTTGCACATGAATCACTTGAGCACAAATAAAAGCTCTGCAAATGTACTGCCTTTTTATACCTTTTGTACGCGATTCAACAGCCATATCTATATTTGCATCTTGCTATCCCAAGACTTTTGTTACCTCAGTGTAATAACTGGGTAGAGAGTTTGGCAATGATTTAAATACAATTACTTCCATGTTATACTTCAGTAGAATTATTACCTATTCACTTTCTCTTCTTCTACACCCTTATGTAGTAAAGAGAAAGTATTGTAATGTTACAGCGGTAAGTGCCGATTTTTCATCGGAAAAGTGTTTTTCGTGGTTTTTGAGGTGGTGAAAACGAATATGAAGTTTTCCAAAAAGATGCCGATGGAATTTTAGATATACAAAAAATTGCCTATACCCAACACTATAGAATTTCGAAAAAAAAAAAATTTAAAAAAATGCAAATATACTCTTCATAAAATTTCCTGTAATTTAGTAACAATGTTTTTTCCTTACACGCACCGTTTATGTTTAACTGATGGTTGAAGTTTGACAAATGCTAAGCACAATATATTTTTTTACCCGGTGTCCTCTCGGTCCTGAACTGCAAACCAGAACTCTTGTCAGTTTACGTACACTATTATAACAAAATTTTGAGAATAGTCAGTAATAGTCTGAAATCCTGAGAATAGTCAGTAAACTAAAAAATAAATATTCATCTGGTTTAGATGAATTTCCGAATTGTTTATTGAAAACTTGTGTACCTACCTTTATACACCCGTTAACTCACATTTTCAATAATTCTTTATTCACATGAATATTTCCAGATATTTTCAAAACAGCAAAAATTAAGCTTATTAAAATTTAAAAAAGGGGGAAAATGAAATTCAAATTTATTGGTCAATTTCTCTCTTGTCAGGTTTCTCAAAAATATTAGTGAGGCTTTTCTATGCGCGAGAAGTCGATCTTGGGACGTAAAAGCACAAGTCGTCGAGATAGTTGTCAAATGTTTGGGATTTGTTCGTCGGAAAACGAGTTCAAATTTCCAGGACATTCAAAAGACTGGGAAGTGCAAGGCCTCGCGTTATTGGAAGACGGCTATATTTATTGCGAAACTATTGTAGAAGCCCCAATAGTTACTATATTTGCTCCATAGGAAACTGGTTGCAAATTGAAGAAGATATTTTTATTTAACCGACACCCAACTTCTTTCGTTGTGAATGTAGAGGATAACAAAACAATCAATAAAAACTAATAGGTTAATATTTCTACTTGTATTTATTATGTATATTTGTTTATTCCTTCTTTGAGACTGAAGGTTTGATTTCAGATGGTCCAAGACCGGATGATTCAGGAAATCTTCCTCTTCAACATGACTCAAACATGATGAGGCCTCAAGCAAATCATAAGGTATTTGCTCTGGTTCACATAATTATCCTCATGGTTATTAAGAAGTTGCGTCTTTCTATTATTTCAGGTGTCCCAACAATTAAGGCATAACTATGAACAAAATAGACCAGTCTTACTACGACTACAATTTCTCACAAACTTACTTGCAGTACGTTTTGCGCAAGATAGAAATCCACTATTTGTTATTTTCCACTTACAGTCTTCAACTCTTTTTTTCATTATCTACTTTTTATTTCCCTTTTTATTTATTTCCACGGAAATTTTCTTAATATTTGCATGAAAGAAGATAAAGAACGTGTCGGGACGACCTTCTAAATTGAACAATATGGTTTATAAATATATTTCCAAAGACAGAGAAATATGACGGCATGCAAATAAGAAGCTTACTCGTACAAGATAAGATCGGAAAGGCATATACTAGAGATAATGGTATCAGAGAGTATAACAGTAGTGAACAGGTTTGTGGTTGTAAATGAAGACAGCTTGAATTATTGTCTCAAAATAATGCGATATGTTCAACCCACATGGTCCTGTACCCACGGCGCGTCAAGGTCAAAAATTCAATTTTTTTTCCGGCGACTTCCAACAATTACAACTACAAAGATAAACATCCTTTTTCTTAATGAAATGTGTTAATCGAAAACAGATCTTCAAAAAAAGTCATGTTCAATTTTTCGAAAATAAATATTTTTTGTGTAATTTGGCGACAGTCGCTCGCTTCGAATTTCCTACGCTTCGTGAATGTAATTCGAGAAGTATTTGGAGGCAGTTGGATGCTATGTTAGTTATAATTTGTAAATTATTTCGTATTTCTTGTTCGTTTATTTCATTAGAGCTTGTAACCATTGCAGAATTTACGACCACGATGTAATTAGGAATGTAGTTTACGGGATTTGGCAGGAATGATTAAAAAAATTAAACCATTAGTTTGCCGACGTTTCGGAATATTTTTATTCCATCCTCAGGGATGGTCTATAAAACGACTTGAAGATATCAATATGAATGTACACTACAGAAATTAATAACATGTGAAAAAATGATACAAGACGTAAACACCTTACTAAATAATTATGGAAATTTACAATCCCCCTGCAACATTATGTCCAGGTTCCAACCCAACACCACATGGAGCTGTTGCAGCGTAAGGGGCCCCATCCCGTACCAGGTCAGACTCGGCAAGGCAGCAAAGCAAGTAGATTTCTCATTCATTTGCTTGGGTCGAGTCGGATCGGTCGTGGCTAGATGGACGATCGTTAGGTGATTAGAGCGTGTGCCGATTTACCCCCTCGGTTTTGGAGGGTCGACGGTTCGAGGCCTGCCGTGGGCATGGATGTTTGTCCATTGTCTTTCGTACTACGTATTTTGTCGCGAAAGGCGCGAGTCTGCTGCCCACAGACCAAGGTGCCCGATGTTCTACAAATTGTAATGAGTTTTACAAAACATGACGACTGAGATGTGTTAATTCGGAGAGAAACTGCGGTATAAATAGAAATACGAAACCATTCTAAGGGAGAGAGTATGAGGTATGTGCTGTTTTAGCACCACTAATTGTCTTAATGAAATCTCATCTTCAAAGATAGTTCTTTAAATAAGATCACGTTCAACTTTTCGAATGTATGAGTAGTTTTCGCACAATTTTTCTTTTTCTGAAGTAAAGGCCACTTTTAAAAATTATTTTTTCAAAAATTACTACATTACGTAATTATGTGCCTATCATGTCATAAGAGAAATGTTCTGCTCGCTAGTGTAAACATTATTCGGGTTGAGTTAACTGCGGCAGTGAGTTCTTGAGCGGTTGGGTTGAATTGTCGGAATATTTTTAAATAAGTTGATGAGAACTTAATTAAGGGCTATGCCAACAAATAGAGCGTTATAATATGCATAATATGTCAAAAATTAACTGCATTATGTTTGCAATTTTAAAAATTATTACGTGTGAATACAGGGCGCAGTAGGTAGTACTTAAGCGGTTGCGTTGTATTGTTAGAACATTTGTAGACAAAGTTGACGAGCACTTAATTCAAGGGCTATATCAACAAAGAGTAATAGTGTGCACAATATGTACAAAAAAAATATGCTCGCTAGTTAAAAAAGTATAACGTTTTGAATAGAATGCCGCAGTATACGTACTTGAGCGGTTGCGTTGTATTGTTGGGGAATTTGTAGTCAAAGTTGACGAGCACTTAATTTTTGCCTTAAATCAACAAATATTAGGAATAGGAATCTTGTCAGATGTATCCTTTGATCAGCTACCCTTTTCGCAATTAATCAGTTGGCTTTATATACTCTTCGTTCTGAGAGTTGCAA